AATTTACATGTGTCGTTCTGTCTAGTATTATTACACGCTGTGGAAACATTGTAAATAGAGACATAGATATTATTTATCACTAAATTATGTATGAATATTCATTATCTGTTTTTAAAAAACTCCATAGCACTCTCATCCTTTACTCTAACTGAAACCATCATCTTCCAGCCCACATATCATTTATAAATGCCCATCTAGATATCTATAGGTATTCACAACAGGGGTGTATACAAGTCATTGGTGGTGGGGTGATGGAGAGTAGAAGTGGGGTAAGAAGTTAGAATTAGGGTTGGGGTACAAGTCTTTCTAAATAGTACATATTTTGCCCATAGATACACTTCTGTCATTTACATAAAAGCATACTGGTACACCATTTATGGAAAAAATATCATGATATTTATGGTATTTAAAATTTGCTATTATATTGTTCAATTTGTAGGTTGTACACACAGAATGGTTCAACCTGTCCCAGAATACATCAACTTTCCTAAGGAGGAAGAAAAGATACTAGAATTATGGGAAAAACTTGATGCATTTCGTACGAGCCTTAAGCAGTCTAAAGGAAAACCAAGGTATACATGTAAATTACCATACATGGAACAATTGCACATTTTCATTTCGTGGCCCGAATTATTTTATTTTTATTATGCACATTATCAAATAAATTATTACAAATTTAGAAAATTGGACAGTGAAAACTACTGTATCACATTTGATATGTTTATTTGAAATTTCAGATTACCTAAAATTAACTGTTGACAAATTATATTTATTATTTTTTGTTCATCAGAAATAATATGGAAAACATTAAAAAAATATTTTTGCCTGTTCAACTTTCGCTTTTAACTAAAATAAAGTACTCTACAGTATCTTTGTATCCATATTCAATTGTCATTTATCGTGTAGATCTATATTCATAGCACAATGTTATAAACATTTTAACTAAGACCGTCAATTGTCATATTGGCATATTTATTGAACTCAATATTTTTATCTTTTCAGATATACCTTTTATGATGGACCGCCATTTGCAACTGGTTTGCCTCACTACGGTCATATCTTAGCTGGTACCATCAAAGACATTGTAACGAGATACGCACATGGTAATGGTTTTTATGTGGAGAGAAGATTTGGATGGGATTGTCATGGGTTACCTGTGGTAAGAGTTAAAGTTCAAAGCTCGTACTCTGTCATTTAATTCAATTCAACTACAGCTTGGAATACAAACCATGAGACATTCATTCCTGAAAATTTAAATGTGCGCTTAAACAAATCAATGTATATATAATATTTTTTTGGTTTGAATAATGTTTATATAAACCTTCCAACAGGTCAAGACTTTCATTATACAATCAAAATGCTGTATCATACTGATGAAGTTTCCCGATTATTGAAGATGTAAATTTTTTAATGCAATGCGGAAGTGAATTTCTGTGATGTTAAAATGCGATCTGTTATCACTGATTTCAACGAAAAAACAGTGATTTTTTCCCCAAAAAACTGTTGATTCTATATTTTCGAAAGGTAAAGTGAGTGTGGAAGGAAGTATTTTAACACCTTTTATGGTCGACAACAGGTCACATCAAAGATTAGTTTACTTGTTCAGACCCCATTCATGATAGTTCATGATGATTATTTAGAGAGGTAAAATGATGTCCAATGACTTGGTTACACAAACCAAACTACTGAACTAAGCATTGTTTTTATGCAATGAAATACACTTTTTACATGCATATTTTAATAAATGTAGTTGATGCCGGATTATCAGTGATGCCCTCAACTCGTTAAATGCCTAAAAAATAGAGGGTTGGGTTTATACACTGGGGAGGGGCTTATGATCAGGGGAGGGGCTTATGATCAGGGGAAGTACGGTATACTGAAAATGCATCATATGTAGATAAATCATCTCTGTCTGTCTGTGTGTCTTTGTTGTAGGAATATGAAATAGACAAGACACTTGGTATCACAGGACCTGATGATGTGATGAAAATGGGAATTGAGAAATACAACGCTGAATGCAGGAAGATTGTCATGAGATATTCCAAAGAATGGCGGGTTAGTTTTGACTGAATTCAGACATTCACATAAATAAAAAAAAACTTTGATAATATAATTTATATTACAGCACAATATACAAAATAGGAAACATTGCCACTGAATTGAACAGAGATTCTGTAAAATACTTTATTTTGGCTGAAATTTTTGCAGACAAGATATTTGCCAACTTTATACAAATTAATTTTCACTGATTTTTGATGAGTTGAATGTAAAACAAAGAAACAAGTACTGGATTTTATTCTCTCTAATTCATCCTTTCAGAGAAAACAATTTCCAAGTGAAAGTAAAGTACTATTGAACAAACAGAATGTATCTGACACATGCAATTTACACAAAAGTTTTTTCTTGGATTGGCCATGTTTAGATGAGATTTGTTTACATTGTGTTTATATTTATAGTTTGTGGTAACCAGGCTTGGTCGTTGGATTGATTTTGACAATGACTACAAGACACTATATCCATCGTTTATGGAGACAATCTGGTGGGTGTTTAAACAACTATTTGACAAAGGTTTGGTCTACAGAGGATTCAAGGTAAGAGGTTATCCATGTTAAATAACTTTTATTTACACATGTTTATTTTCACGGTTTTTGTTGAGTTAATCAGGGAAAATTGAACACATCAAATGAGTCACATGACTCTATTTTTGTAAATTACTGTGAATTTATTGGCAGAAAATATAAATGATATTGACATAGAAATATCGTAAGACTTAAGGAAAAATTATTTCATAAACAAATTACTAATTATTATTTTGGTTTCTAAACAAAGGCAAATCAACAAAATATTGGTAAGGGCACATACAAGACAGGTGGTCTTTATACAGAGATTGTTCATACATTATGCCTTGGGACTGTCTTGAAG